GAACTCCAGGTCGCTTTCCGAACCAGCCGACTGAGTCTTCCCGTCATTTTGAGGTTTCGGGATCAGTCCCTCAGGCAGGACGAACCACGTGTAGTTGTCCTTGCCGATATGCCTCGGCAGTATCTCGACATGAAGCCGGTCTGCCGCCTGGTACTCAACAACAAGCTTCAGAGCCTCGATCTCGTTGCCGTAGACATTGCAAGCCTTCCCGGCGAGGTCGAGGTCTGCTGTGAACCCGTGAGAAGTCTCTTGAACATTGGATGCCGTGTAACCGGGGCAGACACTCTGGGGGTCCACCGCCTCTGGGTCGAAAATGTTCGGGATGAGATCAGCGCCGATGTCTGAGTCCATGGCCACTGTGAACTGGGCATCGTTGCTGCTGGTCGTGGTCGTTGCCGTGTACGACGAAAGCTGGCGTCCAAACTGGTGTCCGACGTCTGCCACTCTGACGACTGCGCAGAGCCCGAGAACGGCCACGGCCGTGAGGATGATGGGTAAGCGGAGGAACATGTTGCGCTTCTGCTCTTTCACTATCGTCGCGCCTTTGTCGTTCAATATCGGTCCCGTCTGTCGCGAGCTGATCATCCGGATGCACTGCGAAAGAACGACGAGCGCCGCGATCCACCATATCAACGATGCACAGAAGGCCGCCATCTCTTCCCCTCTTATACCCTTCCAATCCCCCCAATCGAGCCAGTCGTTCAGTGCCATGTTGTCGTGGAGTCGTAGCAGGTGCAGAGGAAAGTGGTGATGACCAACGGGGAACTGTCAGTTGTCCTACGAGGAGAAAAGATCACATCACCGGCGTGGCATTGAGCGGCCTGACTGCGGTGTAGCTAGAGCTTTCCCCGCACAGACTAGGGAGGAGGTGGTTTGATGGTTTGAGGCAAGAGGAGCGTCCGGGGTTGGAGCTACAGCTTCTGGGGTAGCTTTGATTTACCGCGAGCTTTGTTCCGTGCAGCTCAAGCAAGGGAGCTAAGAAGAATGCGGGTCATGACGGCATGCGCGCGCAGGTGCAGCGTGTTGGGTGTTGGGTACACCTGCGTGCGGAGTCTTGCGGAGTTCGTGCAGTGACCTGCGGCGCGGCTCCGATCCGTCCCATGGGGTTTGTCGATCACCGAAGAAACCCCCGAAGATGTGTAAGTGGTCTTGCTTATCCTGACTACATCTTTTGACCCGTGAAGTTCTCATTGGTCGATTCTGGAGTATCTTCGCTGAAACTGCGATGAGGGGGTATCGTCAATATGCAAGAACCTTTCGACAACGAGGACACTTAGCCAGCATCATCTTGCCGATGCCCAATCCCATCGCTGGCCAGTAGCTTCCACCGCCGATGCTGCTTCGGTATGTTATGTACTTCTCCACATAGCAGGCATGATGGTATCATGAGAGCCGGCGGAATAGGCGACACAGTGGGAGAAGGTGACAGGAGAGTGAGAATTTGGCAAAAATCACCGAGTCAGCGGAGGAAAGCCACCTTTTTGTAACACGGCACAATGGGGAGACAGGTCGAGGTCATTTGAAGATCGCGAAGATCCTCAGTGTATTACGATTCATCAGACATCTGTTCAACGACATCTGATCCTCAACCACTTGCATAACCAGCATCAGGACTACATGTCCCATAAGCCACGAATCGAATGAGAAGCAAATTGAATAAGTCATCTTCATTGTGTCTTCGACAAGGAGGGGCACTTGTCTCAGAAAGTCTGCAGACTCGTAGCCGTGGTGTAAGCAGCGCTGAACGATACCGTCTCGCCATCATACTCCACATATACATCGGTTCATTCGCTTCTTGTCCCTCCGTGATTCTATCTCGATGCCATTCTTTGCCTTTTTTCGGCCAAAGACTTGAATATGAGTCCCTTCTTGATGCTGGATGGCCGGGATTGATCGGAAACCGGATACCCATGATGGAGAATCATACTAGAGCACATAATTCGCCGTCGGTATTAATGGTGAGAATGGAGAACTTGAACATCGTAGGAGTCTCCATAGCTTTCGATGGCTCCAACACGTAAATGACAGCGGTGGCGCGAGGATGAGAAGTATCAACACGGAGGCCTGAATGTTCTCTCATCTCTCGCTAACAGATTTCTTAAATTTTCGAACCGGATTTAATTAAAGGTTCGATTCGAATTTCTCATAAAATTTATAACAACAAATGAAAACCTAGTGCTGAGAGAGGGACACCCTCCGCTTTGTTTCCTCGAATGGCAAAGCCACGACAGAACCAACCACCTCCTCGAGCAGAACCCCAAACGACCGCCAGCAGCGGCAATGGCACAATCCTTCTTCCAAAACCTCGATTCTCATATTGTTTCACGTCTTGCCGTCCATGTTCTAGACAGAACCCCTCTTGGCTGTCCCCAACCAAGTTCCGCTTCGATGAACAAGTGTATCGCCCCTTAAGCGAGGGGCGACCCGGATGACCCAGATGACGGTTTTCCGAGGCCACCGTTGCAGTTTGCGATGCCGACGCACGAGACGGGGTTAGAGAGGTCGACGTTGGTGGCCGGTGAGATGTTGACTAGGCCGCCGGCGGGCGGGAAAGGCAGGCCTAGGGCCGTGGCTAGGAAAGCGGAGATGACGATGAGTTGGAAATGCATTGTTGTTGTTTTGTGGTAAGGACTGAATGAAAATTAATCTCGTGAAAAATGATTGCAGGTTAGAGGTGGGAAGGTTGGAAGAATTGAGAACACGTTCGCGCGTTGTGCAGTTTTATATATCCATCACAACATGAATTGACTCGAGGAGTGGAAGGCTTCATTGAAAAGGGCCGAGCAAATTACCGTTTTTGAAACTTCTGGGACATATAGCCTGGATAAATTCTAGCTGATTGTTTTATCTTTCTTGTTATCTTCACTGTCGCCTACGCTCCGGTTCAGCCACCGGCAATTTGATCAGCACAGAGGCAGACTTAAGAGCCGAGACAAAGCAACGAGGCGGTTCTTTACATCTTATTCATGATCTATCGGTCTTCTGAAGTCCAAAATGACTTATCGCAACAATGGAGGCGCCGCGACATGCCAAAGATCGTCCCGGAGGCGTTGGCTCTAGCGGGCCGTGGCGGCGGCGTCAAAATGCTGACTAGCTGCCGCTGAGGGTCCCGCTTGGTCGTCAACGGGCAACGCTTGCAGAGGAAATGTTCTGTTCTGTTCTGACTTTTTACTCAATTCTGTGATTCAAACAGTACCTGACATGGGTCTGTGAGGACAGTCAGTTTCGTGGCACCGGGCTGGCCACCCTTGTCCCGGACCCGAAAAGTGGAACCAGATCGGGCCCATTGCGGGGATCGCGCGGTGCTGGCGCCGGCGGCAGGCAGGGGAGGTGCTCCAGTCAGCACCGCTCCTCTGGTACTCGAAAGCCGTTTGGGATCTGGGGCGGTGCCGGTGCTCCGATCTCAGAAGAAGACATACTCCGCTGTGACGGAACAACCGAGGAAGGTGTAAGGTTCGGCAGGCCTCCATGGAATCATCGTCACGGGCATTGCTGCCCGGGCTGGAGACGTTGTGCAGTGAACAACATGGATGTGGTTCTCTTTCGCAAACCTTACCTACCAGCCTCAACATGATGCTATCGTCAAGAACCGATTCCCGCCATCACAGTCTCTTCCGAGATGGTGTCCAACACAGCCTCACGCGTCGACCTGGCATCGCCCAAACACCTTACTCTGCACCTACTCATCGTCATCCAAACATGGGCTTCTTCCCATCCCACTAGGAAGCTCCAAGCAAATCGAAATCCCACGGGCCTTCGGCAACCTTCTCCATCAGGCTAGCACACGCAATGTCGTCAGCCCCAAAATCGAACAGAGCATGCAAAAGCCAAAAAAACCAGCAGACCACAATGCCTCTGTTTCAAACAATAATGCAATGCGCGAAGCGCAGTGATGTCAAGAAACCTCCCCGCCCCCAGGGATCCCTTTTCCCCTCTTTCAGAAACACTGCAGATGAGGCTTTGATAGGTGCGATCAGCCACACCTCCCCAGACTGGACGCGCGCACGACAGGGGTCTTCCCATCTCGACGTGTGACGTCACCGCTGCGGGCGAGAGCTGTCTCTCTCTGGCCTGCCATCGCATTCTGCCCATTAGCTCAGATATTACCAAAACGCGGCAATACAGACGAGTATATAAATCCACCCATCAAGCCACCTCCGTCATCATGCATATCTCCCCTGTCCTCCAGCAGCGCCCATCATCCCGCCTACACTAATTAATAAAAAGACCCCAACGGGCCATCGAACTAAATGACGAACAACAAGAACGACAGCAAACTCTCCAACGTCCCCATCCTCAACAAACTCACATCCAACTCGAACTCGTCCTCATCCTCGTCTTCCTGGACAGGTTCATCATCGAATAAGAAGAGTCACCACACGCCGCACTACAACTCCACAGACCACCACCACCTCAGGATGCCCGTCGGAAACAACGACCAGAACAACGGCGTTACGGGCGCCGCCAAGTTCGTCACCTCGACGCTGGGCAACACCGTCGGCGGCGTCACGCGCACCGTCGGCAACGTCACAGGCGCCGCGACCAAAGGTGTTGGGGACACCATCACGAGCGCGGGTGGCAGCGCGGGGCGGCCTATCGGCGACGGGTTGGGCAACCTCGGCGGCGGGCTGCAGAATGCCCTGAACTCGGTGGGAAAGGGAGCGGAGGATGCGGGGCAGTGGAAGAGATCGTGAGCAATGGCTAGGATATACCGATGCCGAAAAATTGGATGGAAGGTTCTCGAGATTGTGTTATTAGGAGCGTACCCCATCGGATGAAATGATTCATGTTTCTATTCAGTTGAACTTGTAGATGATGTGTTGGTGAGTGAGGTAATGTGTGATGTTATGTTAACTCCTGATCATGCCCTTCTATAAGTGGGTGTAGTACAAGTACAATGTGGGCACAATGGGGTTACATATGGACTGGAGATATATCTCGTTCACAAGTTTACCAATGACGGCCAAGTCTGTAGTTCTCGTCCGCAATCCACTGGAAGGTTAAAACAACTTATCCGGGCCTGGATCACTACTACCGTCATCGCTCAGCATATGCTTTTTCAATAAAAGCTGCAATTTGTAAGGTGTCAGCAGATCCTTCGTCATCTTGCTGGGGCCGCCCGCGAACTCGTCCATGCCATTGTTGTTCTTGGGGAACGCAATGACATCCCTAACGGACGACGCGCCGCTCAAGACAGCCACGAAGCGGTCGAACCCGATAGCGAAGCCGGCGTGCGGCGGACACCCGGAGGCAAGGGCCTTCAGCAGATGCGAAAACTCATGGACCTTGTGATGGTCCATCTGAAGAATCTGTTCAAAGATGAACTTTTGGATCTCGGCGACGTGGATACGTCTGCTGCCGCCACCGAGCTCAACACCGTTGAGCACGAGGTCGTAGTGGTCCGCCTTTGCCTTGAGCGGGTCCTTAAACAGCAGCTCAAAGTCTTCTTCCGAGTGCGGCGCCGTGAACGGGTGGTGTGTGGCAGAGAAGCCTGCGGCACCTCCCTGGCCGCCGACATCACCCTCCTCAGTGCGGGTAAACATGGGGAAGTCGGTGACCCAGAGAAACTTGAAGGAATTGTCGGGGTCGATGAGACCGGTCCTTACGGCCTCGTGGTAGAATGCGATTCTGATCTCGCCAAGCTTGGTTGAGCCGCCCCCGTGAGGCAGCTTCCTGCGCGCTTGGAAGAAGACAACGTCGCCGTTTTGTAAGTCGGAGAATCCAGAATCCTCCGGGACATGGGGAAGGATGCTATCGATGCCTGCCGGCCCAAGGGAGGAGAAACCGTTCAGAGGCTTGCTGCTGTCGAACACCAGTGCCACCGGCGCGCTGTGTGAGTTTTTGGAGGAAAGACTGGCGGGCAGGTCGTCCATGAATTTCAGGACGGCCTTCGACACACGGCGCTTGTCGGCGTCATCCCGGGGGCTGAACTTCCATACTTCGACAGCAGGGTCTTTGAGTTCGCTGATCATGCTGATGAAGTGTCGGTCGAGGTGCTCATCGACGCGGCATATCTGGATGGTGTTAGTCAAAAAAAGGCAGGCATACGTTGGAGACTGACCCTATTCGGTATGCGCAAGTCTGGCTTGTCGGATCCGTAAAGTTCCATACAGTCCTCGTACTTCATCCTCATGAACGGCGTCGAAATGGCAGGGTATTCTTGGTAGAGTGGTGTTTGAGAGTCGTCCTTTGCACTGTCTTGGACGCTCTGCTTCCAATCCTGGCCACCTTAGTCTTTGAATAGCTTTCGTGTGAGAAAAGATCTGACTACCTGGAGGGATGACTTTTTGACTGGTGAGAATCCCTTCTTCCCAACCTCCATGACATGCTGCTCTCGCATGGCCTCCCAGGCCCTTCCGACGACATACTCGACATCTTCCATAATGTGCTTTCCCGTGGCGAAGGACTTCTCCATGTCAAGCTGCATAACAAGTCAGCCACATCGCTTTTTGACCAGGATGAGAACGCAAACCTGGGTGAATTCGGGCTGGCGGTCAGCACGATGGTCTTCATCGCGGAAGCATCGCGCGAATTGGTAGTAGCCAGACATGCCAGATGCCATCAAGACCTGCTTATATTGCTGGGGACTTTGTGGCAGAGCATATGCGAGATGACCCTTCCGCGTTGGCACGATGAATTCCCTGGCACCTTCAGAAGTCGATTTGAACAAGATTGGAGTCTCAACGTCCATGTAGTCCCGATCCCCCATGGCCTGTGCCAGAGTCGACTTCAGCTGAGCACGGAAACGCAATCTTTCGCGCAGGTCCTTGTGGAAGCGCAACTGCAGGTGGCGATCCTTTGGTGAGAAGACTGTGTCTGGGCCGATGATGATGTGAGGCGGGAAGAAGCCAAGGTGCTTTATCGACTCCAAATCCATCTCGAAATGCGACGTGGTTGAAGCCTCAGTGACAGTGCCCGAAGCAAGGACTGCACTAAGAGGGCGTATTTTACTCAACTTGTTGACCTCCTCCGGCCCTTTTGCGGCGATCTGGCCTATTCGCCGGCCATCGCGTTCCAGAGATGCGAAGGCCAAGTTTTTACTGACCTTTCGCAGTTTACTGATGTAACCACTGACGGTGATTTTGGCTCCTACTTGACCCCACGTCTCGGGCTCGGACATGTCAGGAGCGGCAACTGAGCGATTCGGTATCAGCCAGGGAACTTGTGTATCGATTGGCATTGCCGCTTACAGCAAGTCTTGAATTCCTCCGAGAGAGCCTTGTGACTGTCTTTGGCCTTTGGACTGGCTGTTGATTCAAAGCGAGTCTGCTGAGGAATGGAAGTCGAGGTGCAACATGGCTGCTTTGAGAGCAATGCTAGCCCTCGAGTTGCAGACTGCGACTGCGACTGCGATATGCGAGGATGCAGGCTGGCCAGGCCTCTCATGCGACAGCACTGTCGAAGCATATTAAAGGGCTGTGAAGGCGTCCAGCGGTGTGACGAGAGTCGCCGATGCTGAATTCAATATTTAGATGTATTTGCGACTGGTAGTGCAGTGCTAGAAAATCTCAATGGCGCAACATGGCGAGTGAAAATCATGGGCGGGTCAAACGTGACGTTGAATATCGATGAGAAGCTATCGCACCTCAGCCCACCGAGCCCGCCCAGCCGACATTTTCGCAACCAATGCGCGCCAGGGTGCACCTTCACCTTGGCAGCTCAGCTGTGTTGCACCTCAGGCAGGAGGCGGGTCCCCACCAAAAAAAGTGATTAGCGCGGGGCAGGCTCCCCGTATAAAAAATCTCGCGTCGAGCTCCAAAAAAATCTCTTCTTTTCCTCTTTATGATTCTTCCATTTCAAAAAAGTGTATGTTTGGTCCGCCCCCCCGGTATCGCGTCGCACCGCACACACCGCGTCGAGAAACTTTACTGACAACGATTCTGCAGGTGATGAAAGCCGCGCGTGTTTAATATGATGCAGCTCCCGCTGTCCGAGGCATCCAAGCTCTCCCCTTCGGGCGGCTTCAGGGCAAAGGTGTCGAGGGCGGTGGGGGCCATGATCTAGGCGTTCGACACGACCTTGTTACAACATCGGACGCGATGAAAGGCAACTCTGATTTTTATCGAAATGGAAGATTCTACGAGGGTTCTGGGGGCTTTTGGCACGCAGCAGTAACCGACAGACCTGTCAGCGCCAAGTGACGCCTCAGGTCTCGTCTGTGTCGACTGACTGATAATGGGCACAGTTGCGGTCGGGCGCGTTTTTACGTTTTTCCCGCCGTATATCGGCCGGAGATGGTCGATTGGTTCAATTTGCGACACATCGGATGTTCCTACCTTTCGCAGTCGTTGCCGACGGAGCTTACTCTTGTTGGAGAGCTGGGTTGGCTTGGGTGTGGGAGGCACGGATGACGAGAAGTCGAGATTGTGAAAGCCAGCGAGTTACGAGTCGAGCATTCAGTGTACAGTAGCAATTTGACCTCGTCGGTGCATACACACTGACGGGGAGGACGCCCTGTGCGGGTGGCCAGCAATATCCCAGACTTTTATGAATCAAACAAACAAGACCGATGTTGGGGAGAAGTAAGATGCGGTACATGTGAAGAGGTGGCCAGCGAACCCCATGTTTCTTGATGGTGTTTCAACGGCCATGGTGCCGTTGGATGGCGTTGGAGTTGTCGCACTGCCGAGCGTGAGGGGCTCGCTGATGTATCCGTACCTGGGCTGCTGTATTATTGTGAGCGTGGTTAGTTCATTGGTGAGGGAGCGTTCGCATTGGCGGCTGACTGATGTGCTGTCAAATCCTCGGATTGGTACTGAATACGGTTCGGGTCGTGTTTTCCTGGGCATTCGAAGGGCGAGACACACCGATCGGAAGAAGAAACCAGCTGTGAACGGCAGAAGCAAGCAAGCAACAGCATCAATGGCATCTCCACCCACACTCTTTCTATCCGTACTTCTCCCCCCAAAAACAACCTGCACCCCGGCAGGTCGGAGCTGCCAGTGTTCGTCCGTGTCAGTAAGGTATTACCATTAGATGGGGGGCCGCCTTGACGGGACCTCGGGGTCGTCCTGAGGCCCACCTCACACACTCAGGCGGCGCTAAAGAGGACGCCGCACTGGTAGAGAATCTCTTCAGCGGCGGGAGATGCTTGGTGTGTGTCGCAGTTGAGGTCGCAGTGCAGCGCAGCGCAACGCCAGGGCCACCGATGGCGTACCTGATCTGACCTTACCGTACCTTACCTGAGGTACTTTACTTCACCACATGCACCGCAAGTCCTCTTCCCTCCACGTCGTTGGAATGCCACGGCGACAGGTGCCGACTGCCAGCATCACGAGCCCGCAAAACAGGCACTCGTGGACAGGGTTCCCTACCACTGCTACCGGCATGACCGGGTACGTGCTTTGTTGTACTACGGATGGTAGATACCCCTAAGGCCCATGGTCCATCGTGTGGTACAGCTGCTGCCACGATAGAGGTGTTGGGTAGAGTCGAAAAGGACATGTACATCTCCAGGCGACTCGAGTGAAGATACCTAAGTAATTAGAAGACAAGTAGGAAAAGGAAAGGTGACGACGGGACCAAGACTCCTCCTAGTGTCGGTGGCGTAGCGATGCAGACGGGAAAGCAGAAGGGCTGCCCAGGAATCAGAGGCCGCGGCCGCTGGGCGCACCGCACCTGGACCTGACCTCTGGACTTGAACACGCACTTGCACCTCCCCCCGTCCCTCACAGGCTCACAGCCCAGGTTACGTAGCAGCCCGACCAACCGACGGCCGTCGTCTTTCCCAATTCAAGACCGTGGCCCGTCCTCCTCCACCCAAACCCACCACTTCCCGACCAAACGTGGCCAACGTCGATACTGACGCTGCCCGCCCTCATTTCCCGAATACCCAACGTTAGCTCCTCGCCACGCTCCGCTCCATCAGGCGCGCCGCCATATCTCGACAACTGCATCGCCAAATCTGTATCCTTAATCACCATCTCCGCGGTCCCTTTCCGATATTCCAACGCCCTGTCATGGCCGTTGGTCCTACCCCGGAGCCCGAACCACTCGTCCTGCATTGAAGCTTGCCAGGGCCCAATTTCACCCAGCTGAGGGTTTCCCTGGCCTGCAACCCGCCTCCGTCGCGCCCCGTCACCGATACTTCTCCCGCCCGTCGACCACGACCCCGTCTGCATCCCTAAGAAGCGCAGATCTCGCGTTAATCCATCTTCCTGTAAAGGAGCAATTAACCCGCTCGAGATACCCTGTCGAGGCCCGTGACGGCCGTTCCCTATCGACGGTTTTCCTTTTCCGCGACTTTCGTCCGATCGCAACCCTCAACTCAGCTTTCCCTTCGTCGCCAAGCTCACCGGCTGCCACGAGTCCCCGACAGCGACGAACAACCACTTCGATCTGACCGACAAAATGTCAAGCTCCTTCGAGAAATCGGTCAAGGGGGCCACCAAGATCAAGGTTGGTTAAGGGAGGCGGCGACGGTCATTCCACGCCGCTAGCTCTTCGCGCCTCGCCCGATCATGACGATGCTGACTTTATTGCCTCTAGGCCGCGCCACCCAAGACCAAATACATCGAACACATCCTCGTAGCGACACATGCCGGCGAGGCTGGCGTTGGGGAGGTCTTCCGCGCCCTGCAGTTCCGCCTGCGAGACTCGACATGGACCGTCGTCTTCAAGAGCTTAATCACCGTTCACCTGATGATCCGTGAAGGCTCACCCGATGTCACACTGTCATTCCTTGCGAGGCACCCCAACACGCTTGCTATCAGCAGCTTTACGGACGGTATGTAGATCTTTAGGCTGTCGATGAAGACGGTGGATGCGGTGCTAACAATGCATAATAGCCCAGACACAGGGTCGGAACATTCGGCATTACGCCAGCTACCTCAGCTCCCGAGCGAAGGCATTTCGCGAAACGAAATGCGACTGGGTCCGGACCAAAGAATCGAGGTTGGAGAAGCTTACGGTCGAAAAAGGCCTGTTGAGGGAGACGGAAATCCTCCAAACCCAAATCACAGCTCTGCTGAAATGCGATGTGAGTCCTATGCGGTTGGAGACGATTGGGTTCGGGTGTTAACTTTAAGCAGGTACTCGAAGGCGAAATCGAGAACGAAATCACGGTCACCGTCTTCAGACTGCTGGTGCTTGACCTTTTGGCCCTCTTCCAGGCGCTGAACCAGGGAATGATTAACATCCTAGGTAGGTCTTGTATTTCGCGCACCTCAGATGCTTGCTAATTAGCCAGGCAACTTCTTCGAAATGTCAAAGGTCGACGCTGAGCGAGCCATGGCCATCTACCGCAACTTCACCAAGCAGACGGATTTCGTAGTGCAATACCTCAGCGTCGCACGGCAATTTGAGCATCAGACCCGCGTCGAAGTTCCCAAGCTGAAGCATGCGCCCGTTAACCTGGGCCGACAACTCGAGGAGTATCTGCACGATCCCGACTTTGAGGTCAACAGAAGGCAGTACATCGCCGAGCAGCAGGCCAAGAAGAAGGGAGGAGGCGCGATCATGAAGTCAGCGGGTGCTGTGTTCGATTCCAAACCCGCGCCAGCAGCGAACAACCCGTTCCCGAGCACCAACGGATTTTCACAGCCCAAGACTGAGACTGCCAAGGGACCTGCGCCGGATCTTATTGATTTCTTCGAATCGATTGAACAGAACCAAACGACGATGGCGCCGAATCAGCAACAACATCAGCAACAGCAGCAGATTCCCATGCAGACCGGCTTTGCCCCCAACGGCCAATTCCAACCGCAACCTACAGGCTTCCAGCAGAATGGATTTGGAGCGCAGCAGCCGCAGAACGGATTCGCACCTCAGCCGACAGGATTTGGAACCAACCCGTACCAGCAGCAACCTCAGCAGCAGCAGAGCACAAACCCATTCGGCCAGCCTCAACAGCAGCCCCAACAGCAAGCACCACAACCACTGCAACCCGCCTTTACTGGGGCTGGATTCGGCGGCTTCACCCCTCAACCACAACAGCCTTTCCAGCCTGGCACTCTTGGCGCGATACCGCAGGACTCCGTGGCTAGCTTCCCTACTGGTGCGACCGGCATGCTGAGTCCCAACTCGGCTCAGCAGATGACGAATCCGTTCCGGGCGTCTATGCTGATGGCCCAGCAAACGGGCATGTCTACTAATACCGGGTTCTCGAGCCCAGCCAGCCCTCAGCCCAATCTTAACAGGCAATCTACCAATCCTTTTGCAAGATCTTCACCTCAAGCGCAACAACCGTTCCCGACCGCGCCTGCGCCTAACAACTCTCCATTTGGCTCTCAGCCGAGCCAATCGACAACGCAACTCCCGACCATCGCACCTCTTCAGCCCATGATGACTGGCACCAACCCCTTCGCCAAAAGCTTTACCGGGCAGCAAATGCAGCAGCAACGGCCCGCTACCAGCTCTGGTGCGCTCGTTCCACAACCAACAGGGACCACGAATCCTTTCCGCCAGGGTGCCTTTGTGAACCACCAGACAGGCATGGGCTGGCAGCACAACCAGCAGGCCATGGGCGGAGGTTTGGATTCTCTGGATACTGTGTCCGTTTTCCCGCGACCTATTCAGCAAAGTCCCTGGCAGACATAATACCAACTGTTTCAAAGATCGCGCCACGAGCATCATTGCATGCGACGGGGCAATTTCCTTCTCTAGTTTCTCATCTCAAGCGAGGCGTTATTCTGGGTTTGCCTGTACGGAGGGTGGGTGCTTAGACGGCTTGCGAAAAACAAAGCTCGGCAACGGATGAAGTCACTGGTGGAAACCGGGCACTATCATCGAGGCCTGAGCTTGAAAAATGTATTATCTAGTAAGCAGACTTTAGAAAGTAATTTTTGCATAAGGGGGAGTTGTCTCCCTCAGGACTCTTTTTGAATCTCTGCTTTGCATGTACTGTTTTGTGTCACCGCCTTCTAGTAATCCTGTCCAAATACCCGCCAAACGCCATCGCTATGCCTGCCCAAAATGTCGCGATAAACAACGAAAACTAGAAAACGTCGTCCACTTCCATCCTCTGGCTTGTTACGCCCGTGGCGGCCGCAGCCGCAGCTTCAGCAGTAGCGACCTTCTCCGGCCCCTTCTCGTCGTCGATAAACACAGCCAAGCCCGAGAACGCCTCGAACATGGCCCGCCCCAAGTACTCCTCCGCGCTGTACCCGCCAACCACAATCTCGTCCTTCTTGCGCGCGTCGTCAACCCATGGGTTGCGGTACTCGTCCAGCGGGCCGAGGGCATACCGCTCCATGTCGAGGCGCAGCCCGCCAAAGGGGTCGTAGGGCTTGTTCTCCTCGACGACGCGCTTCTTCTCCTTCTTGAGGCCGCGGATGGACAGGCCCGGCGCGGAGCTGCCGGTGGCTTCGGCGAGGGAGCTCGCGGCGGCGGTCATCCTGCTCTGGCCGCGCTTCTTGAGCAGGATGCGGTTGAGCGTCTGCTTGGCCTCGCCGACGTCGCCGGACGCGAGGCCGTCGAGCATCTCCTCGCGCATGCGCTGCTCCTTCTGCTTCTCGGCCTTGTCCTCCTCCATGGCCTCGGCGCGGCGGCGCCGCGCCTCGTCCTTCTCGGCCTCGAAGCGCGCCACGCGCTCCGCCTCGGACTCCTTGGCCAGCCGGCGGTTGCGCTCGATCTCGGCGCGGTGCGCCAGCTCCCACTCGATGAGCCGCGCCTCGGCGGCCTTCTTCTCCGCGTCGGTGCCGCTGATGAGGTCGAAGGTGAGCGTCTCGACCCACTCGAGGTAGCCGTTGTAGTCGGCGAGGGTCTCGAAGTCGTCCTCGACCTTGTTGAGCACGGCGGCGACGCGCCGGCGGATGTCGACCTCGCGCTCGACGGTGAGATCGCCGAAGTAAGCGGACTTGAAGCCCTTTTTGCGGAGCGTCTTGTGGCAGCCGGCGTAGGGGCACTGGTTGGGCCCGTCGGAGAAGATGCGGGCGACGCAGTTGGCGCACATGGGGTGGTAGCACTCCGGGTTGATGAGGAACTCGAGGTCTTTGTTGAGGTAGCGCATGGTTTTGCAGACGGGGCAGACGGAGTCGTCAGTCTGCACGGCGCCGCCGTTGGGGGCGCGGGCGGCGGACATGGTTGGGTTGTTCTTTGGCGTGAATGCTCGTGGATGGGGTTTGTCGTAGGTTTGAGACCGTCGGATCTGGATGGGAAGGTTCGATGGAGGTGGTTGACTCAAGGCGGCATTGAGATGTTCGTCGGAGGACCGCGGGTCGAGGGAGGGTCGTGGTCGCGATGAGATTTGAGGTTGACGAGATCAAGCACCGCGCCTGCCTGAAAGGAACCAAATTCACGATTGAAATGCGCCCAGATCGGCGGTGGTGGCTTGTAAAGTTGAAGGGCGAGGCTGATTGGGGAGCGAAACGTTTATTAAGCGATGCTAATTGGCCAGAGCTCCCCGATCGAAAACGCACGGTCCGGGGGGCGTAATATGGGGGGTTGATGGTGGTGCAGTGCAGCTAAGCTACCCCTCCAAGAATTCCGTCAGCTTTTCCAGGGTCTTCTTCGACTTTTGCCATCGTCTGTATACCGCAAAACCGCAACCATGGCCGACAAACCTGGTATGTATTCACCCCTTTTTTGAAGAACGGCGAAGAATGTCGACGGGACACATCATGAGCAACCAAGACTGACCACGCGGAAACCCACACAGAACCCACCCCCGCCGAGGAGGCCGCCGCCCGCGCCAAGGAGGCCGAGGAGCAGAACGCGCTGCCGTACAAGTGGCAGCAGACCATCGCCGACGTCGACGTCACCTTCAGCGTGCCCGGCAACTACAAGAGCAGGGACCTCGTCATCGACCTGAAGAAGAACACAATCTCCGCCGGCGTGAAGGGCCAGGACCCGATCATTAAGGTACGCATTACCACACGGGAGGCACATCCTCACTGCAGAGGACCAAGGAAACTGACGCGGAAGGGCGCAGGGCGACCTCCCCCACGCAATCATCGTCGACGACTCGACCTGGACGCTGGCCTCGGCCGCAGACGGCACCAAGACGGTCGAGATCCACCTGGACAAGGTGAACAAGATGGAGTGGTGGCCGCACGTGGTCAAGGACGCGCCCAAGATCGACGTGTCCAAGATCCAGCCCGACACGAGCAAGCTGTCGGACCTCGACGGCGAGACGCGCGGCATGGTCGAGAAGATGATGTGGGACCAGCGCCAGAAGGAGATGGGCCTGCCGACCTCCGAGGAGCAGAAGAAGCTCGACATCCTCAAGAAGTTCCAGGCCGAGCACCCCGAGATGGACTTCAGCAACGCCAAGATCAGCTAGACGAGCGGCGCGCCGTTATCTTAAAAGCGAGGGAGGACGAAGACATTTAACAAAGGCACGCACACACATGATACATAGGCGTTGGTGAATTGAGAGTATATTCATTACGAAAACTAGTTTACGGGACGAGAAAATGTCAGGGGTGAAACGAATCGCCGAAACCATGGGAGAGCAGAAGCAAACGGTTATGGCGTCAGAGAGCCCATGTGTCGTGACATTCCTCTTGGATCCGCTAGTAATGGCGAAGCAGATTGAATGCTGCAGCCCATCAATTGTCAGATTAATCAGCGGTCCGTCGCTACAACGCGTCCCTGGAAGAGGACAATGACCATGCACTGTTGAAGATAAGAAACTGGACGGATTAGTTGGTGACGGTAAAGAGTTTGATAGCAAAAGCACGTCGGGATCCTTAGAGCACAGGCTCGCCGACAAGAGACCCGACATTAGGTCTATGAATCCAATTTCTATCCGCTCTAACCGCCCTCGCATGTCCTAACGGATGGCGTCGGAAAAGCAAGCAGACAAGAGGGCATGGAGCTGACTCGGCGCACGAATCACTTGACACGGCATCTGTGATGTTGATTAGCGAAGATTCCTGACGGACTGATGCAAACAACATTGGAAAGTAAAGGTGGTATCAGAAAGTAGAATACATCCACACGTATTTTGGTATCTCGGACAGGGATAACTGTATTTTTGATGTCTAACTCATCATTTGGGACGAGGGGGTGAAGGAAAAAAGAAGATCGTCTTACCTGAGATGATGGATGGGACGGGTGTGTGATGTTGGAAGTTATTCACTTGGTAGAGTATCTGAGAATTGAGTCAGTTAAGTCTTCCAGAAGACGAGTCCACTCATGAGCAAAGAAAGATGCCAAATCAGAAGGTAGATTACATCCACACATATTTTGTATCTCGGACAGGGATAACTGTATTTTTGATGTCTAAATCATCATTTGGGGAGGGGTTTGAGTAAAGGAAATATCACCACGTACCTGTTGGGTTGAGATCCGGCCGTTTACTGCTTGGAAAGACGAGCAGCCTTGAACTTGCTGATACGCTGACCGCCGTCGGCTTCGTCCAGTGGCCGGATCACAGAGGTGTCTTCCTGCAAGAAACCACCCTGTTTCTGGATGAAGTTCCTCCGCTTGCGGTGGTACTCATCGGCAACGTCTTGGTCGATAAAGTCGTCTCCGAAGGCGTCATCATCCATTGGGTTGGCCTCCTTCTCCACGATGGCATCGGCGAGCGTCTTGCCTTCAGGGCCGGTAGGGGCAGTGGGTCGGTCCTGATCGAGGAAACGGACAGGTACATCCATCGGGCCCTTGGGAACAGCGCCATCGTCAACGACAGTCGGGGCCGCTCTTTGCTTCTTGAAGCGTGAAGCCTTGCGTGTAGACTTGACTTCTGTTTGCTGCGCAGGGCCAGAGCGCTCAACAATGTCGCTAAGGGGCTCGACGAGGGGCTCAATGGGAGCCTCGGGAGCGACAGCTGGCGTCGATGTTGCAGGCGTTGTCTCAGGAGCGATGTCGAGGTTTTGGGCGAAGCGAACGCTCTTCTTGCTGTCAGACTCGGTCGGCGAAGAGGTTCGCAGGCTGGAAGCCACCGGGGAAGGCGTAGACTTGGGGGGTTCTGAAGCCTTGGGCTGCTCGCCGCGTTTGATAACGATGCGACCGATGCCTTGCTTATCCTCGTTGTCAGAGTCATCCGCCTCTTCCTCGGCCTTCTCCGTAAAGCGAGACTTGACACCAAGTCGCTTCTCGAGCTCAAGCATCCGCTGATGGTAGCCGTCGTCGAGGACACTGCTGGTGGAACGTCCGTACTTGTCCTCTTCCTCATCCTCGTCAAGGTCAGAGTAGTCGTACTCCCAGTCATCGTCGTCATCGCCAGAGCCTTCCTCGAGCGTCAACTCGGCGACGACAGCCCCGACCTCCTCCATGCCGTACTTGAGCATCTCTCGACGGAGGAGTGCGTCTTCCTCGGTCTCGCCCTCGGGAACGACAGGAGGCTGCCGGCTGATCTCCTCTTGGTCCTTGGCCGTCTTCATGATTTCTTCGACGCGCTGGGCGGTTCTGGAAATCTGAGGCTCTGAAGCCGGCTTGGTGTCTTCTGAGAAGGAGACAGTCTTCTTGACCGGGACGATATCGTCAACCTTCTGATCAGACTGGGGCGGCTCGACGGCAGGAACAGGTTCCTCCTTCGGTGGTGCAGCCTCCGCAGGCTTGTCGGTGACATCCTCGACGATCGCTTCGACCTTTTCCGACCCCTCAGTCTTGCCCTCAGGGATATCCTTGACACCGGCCTTCTCCAAGATCTCCCTGATCTGCCCACTGGAGTCGCCCGGACGCTGGAGCCGACTAGCAACAATGTTGCCTTCCTCGTCGAGCTCCTCGATGATCTCTGTTATGGGCAGGCCATCTTCGCCGCGCACGTCGGGGTTGCTGACGATGCTGGCGGCGGCGTGCTTCTGCTCGGCAGAGTCGAGCTGCTTCTCAAGCGTCTCGATGTTCTTGGACACGTAGTCGATGCGACGCGTCAGAAGATTGACAATCTGCTCGGCAGGCTTGAGGTCAATCCTGCCAAACAAGTCGTTTATCTCCTTCTTGTCGACGACCTCGCCCTCAAAGTCCCGGCGGATGCGCGCGAGGTGCTCAGAGCTGGCGGGTTGGGGAGCAGACTCGATCTCCTCTTTCAAGGATTCATACTCCGCGTCCCATTGTCGCCAGTGCTGCAGAGCCTTCTGCAACTTGGCGATATTGTCTTCAAGTTGCAGACGGTGCTTTTCGAGGTCGAGAAAGCTGTCTCTGACTGTGGCCATGGTGGAAGAAAGATGGGAGAGTTGGATGGTCGGAAGAACGGGGACGACAAGAAAAAAAATCCAGCGGAGCATGGAATTTCGGAGCTTGGACTGGATTAGGTAATCGACTGGCCACGGTCGCGTTGCATTACGTAAGTGGGTCTAGGATGCGTGTGCCCATTTTCTTGGTGGGGTGCCTGCCGTCCCATCAATCTCACCGAGATTATCATCAAGCTCAGAGTCAAGTGTCACACAACGAGCCAAGTCTAGTATATTCGAACTTATCCACTGACGTGTTTTTTTCTTGGAGGAATTACAGCTAGTAGCTTTCTGCCTAAAGTATCTAAGCCTCCTGCCTAGAGCCTTTTCTTGCACCAAGCTCTCGGCCTGACACCAATCAGGTACTTGTTCGACTTGAGCTGCAGGCTTACCAGAACCATTGTCTCTCGAGACTGGCCTGGCACGAAGAAAAAGTCATATCTCCTAAGGAGAGAAGCCATCGTAAGCCGAATCTCATTCCACGCAAATCTGACGCGATCATTAGTATTCTCGGTGAACTCAAAAGGCGCGGGATATCTCACTGTTTACCAATGCAGTTCCTAGACGCCGCAGAGAATGGGTAGTAAGACATCTTTTCGGCGGCTGGCATGCCTTTGTAATCAGAAAGCCACCGCTCGGGAACGAAATCGTCGGCGTCAGGCCATTCCCTCTCATCCAAGTGCAATGGGAACGTGTTGGCAGTAATGGCAGTCTGGGTCGCGTTAGATACCCCAAGCAACAGCGACTAGGCCGGGAGACAACTTACTCCAGCGGGAAAGAGATGCCCTGCCAGAACGATATCCTCATCCGTTTGTCTTTGTAACCCTAAATTGATGTAAGCAGTTGTAAGCCTTCACCAGATAAGAACCTCACCAGAAGCTGCTGGTGCTCTGAGCCTCAAAGTCTCCTTCAGAACGGCGTTGAGGAACGGCAGATTCGCCGTCTCTTCATTCGTCACTGGCGAGCTTGCGTCCGGGAAGACTTGGCGGATCTCCTCTATCAGCCTCTTGTAACGGACCGGATCGTCCAAGAGGAATATGAACGCGAAGATCAGCGTGGTAGCCGCTGTCTCGCCACCAGCCAGCATGAAGAGAAACATCTCTGCAATGACTACCTTGTCTGAGAAGTCTTCTGGGTTCTGGTCGTGAGTGTCGAGGAGCAACTGCAGGATATCAGGCTTCGCGATCTTGTCTTGCGAAGTTCTCCTTCGCGCGATGACCTCGTCGACGAGCCTCTTAAGCTCGGGGTCTTGCGACTTTGGCAGGAAGGGGATCCAACGCAAGAATGGCAGTGTTTGATACTTGACTCAGTTAGTTGGGCTATATTCAATGAGCCGGGTTCAAAAAGGGCTTCTTACGACAGCGTTGCGTCTGAAGTTCTGCGACATCTTCAAACGAATGGGATGCTCCCCGTTCTTCACCAGTTTAAACGAGCCTCCAAACGAAGTCTCGCTCATGACATCAGAGGTCAAGCATCCAAAGAGATGCCAGATGTCGATTTTTGCCTCCCCGCCCGCGGCAGCGACGCAACGTTCATCAATCACCTCCTCCAGATCCTTGATGCAGCCCAACATCATCGGCTCGAGACCTTTGATGTAGCTGACCGAAAAGCCGTGGGACAGCAGGCGTCGCCGGGTGCGGTACTCTGCGCGGTCTCGTATCGTAAATATCGTCGCGATGTCTTTGTCCTGGCGGAACTTTTCGTACGCAGCGCTCTTGCGGAGGTCTTTTTCGACGACAATTTGGTGGACTGCTTCTTTGTTGGAAATCATCACAACATTGGGTGCTGGTGCCAAAGTCAGTGTTTGGAAGTTCCCCAAGGGAAGGCAGTAACGCATACCAATCCTGACAATTTCACCGTACTTCTTTGGATATTCGAGGCACATTTTGCCTGACTTGCCGGTGATGACCTTCAATTTCCAAGGGACGGCGGTGAATCTGTTCAACCACGGCCCAGGAACCTTGCTAAGCGGCCCTGTGAGGCCGATCCATACCGCCTTCGAGATCTCGATGCCATAGTAGACAAGAGCAAGTAAACCGAAAACCGTGGCCGCAGTCTTGAGATCTACACCAGGTTTTCCGAGCATCACATTGCTGCTGTTCGACGAATCCATGCTGAGATTTTGTGCGCCGCATAGCAGAAGTCGACGCAAATGTGATGCCTCAACAAAACCGCAGCGTTTTTGAAGCGTGGAGGAAGATCTCCCTCGATTTTGTCAAGGAGATGGGAAAAGTCTGGAATGAAGGGAATTCAGCTGCCTGGCTCAAAATCCGACAGTCTGGATGCTGGGATTACACATGTGGCTGAATCCCAAGCTTACATACTTAGCGCTTATGATTGGCAACTTCGGAATGGAACTTCTGCCATTTCAGGTAACAAATACCCCTGCGAATTGCAGAGATTGCACACGGCAGACGTGTATTCCGCCAGATCAACGGCCAATTGAGCCTTGTGCAGGAGAAGGATCGTCTCACCAACCTCGTCTAGCTGATCAGGTTTGATGAAATCAATTGGGTGCTACAAGTCCAAGTATCCTATCACCTCACATTGAGCCTTTGCAACATCTCCATAACCTGTTTGAAGCTCTTAGAGTCAAGCCGCCTGATGTATCCCACACCCAGGAAACAGGCTGTACCAGTCATCGTCGCAAACAAAACTGAAGTAGCCCACAAGTCCCAGTTCCTCGCCTTCCAAATTGGCATTCTCATATCCGCGGTCTGAAGATGCATGGGCCGGAGTTCTTGCCCACGTCTGAAGCGTAGCTCGTGGTCGTGGATGACCTCTTCCACCATGTCAGCAGCGAAGTGTTTCCTCCGCGAAGCGACGCGCGCAATCCTCTTCATTCGTTCGACGTTTCTGGCAATATTGCCTTCGGGGTCGACTACGATGGCACAAATCCGGCTGGTCATCCCCTCGGGCGTGAAGTCGAACTTGTCCATGGCCAGACCGACCCCCGCCTCGACTAAGCGCGCGCTGTTGGAGAGCTGGTCAAAGAAGTAGCCAATGACAAGAACGGGCGTCCCATGGAACAGGGCTTCGTTCGCGCTGGAGCCACCTCCGTGAGTGAGGTAGACTCTGGTATTGGTGTGCTCCAGTATGGCTCGCTGCGGCGCAAAGCTTGTGAGGAGAAATTCGGAGTGACTTCCGTTGAAAATACTCCCGACTGTCAGATTTGACCCACCCTTCCTCTCAAAAGAGGCCGTCGTATCGGCATGTCTCCTGGCAGCTGCTGGCATGGACCATATCACGCCGTTGATGTGCCCCGTATCCAATGACATGACGAGACCACGAATTAGCTTGACCAAGTCCTCGTCAGGGAGGACGATGTGGGTGCCAAGAGCTATGTACACAGTCTTGTTGTGAGACTCGAGGAAATCCAGATACATATCGTCGAGCCCAGCAAACTCATCGCTGAGTATCGGGCCTACCGGAAGCATCAGAGGCGGCAAGTCCTTGGGAGGCTCAAGCCCGAAGAACGAGTTGATGAAGACAAGGTGATTCGGTTTTGTGGCCACCGGCAACGCATGATGGACGCCCTGCCGCTTCCTCAATTCCTTGAACCACCGCGTCCACGCCATGATATGCGGGAGAGCCCAGATCAGCACCATTTCGTTCCTGATGCGCGACCAGATGGATGCTCTCTCCGACGTCGGTGTAAAGTCGACTTGGAAGCCTGGCTGACCGGGTATGTAGCTCACCGGGGCCAGTAAGTAAGGCATCTGCGGCCACATGATGGCAATGGGCACGCCAAACTCGATCATCATATCTTTGGCCGCAGCATCGACGAAGAAGTCGGCAACGATCATGTCTGGTCTAGTATCCGGATCCAGCACCATCTCACGTAGGTGGAAATAGGTGTCCGGCCAATACGAATCGAAGAGGTATTTGGACTGCATGATCGAGCCGACGCCGTCGCTGGGCCGCCACTGCCTCATGCGGGTGTAATGCTGCTCCGCCTCATCGTCCGGGAGGGCGGGACCGAAGCTATGGATGCGACTAATGGATGGGTAGGCGGAAGCCCAATGTTCTTGACCCGTGTTGGTGCCGAAATGAACCTCGTGGCCGCGTGCCGCAAGGACGGAGCCAAGTTCAAGAACCGGGGCTGCGTGGGTGAAGCCGCCGACGGTTGAGACGAGGAGGATCCTGCGTTTGTGGAAGGTTTCTGGGGCAGCCATCATAGTTTCCTGGCTAGATATATGGAATAGCTGCTAGGCTAGTTGAATATGAGAGATGGTCAAGAACATGGGACAATTAACCTCTTTTCTAGAGCGCCTCGGCGGGTTGCACCATCTCGGCGGGTTTCGGCAGGTTGGTGGAGTGACATTCTCATGCAGGCAGCAGGGTTCGTTTTGCCGTGACGCGCCTCCTATGGTTATATTGAACGGGGAGTTCCCGAGCCATAACAACAATTATAAGAAGCCCGATGACTTCGTGAAATGGGCGAAACCCTTTTCAACTCTTGATCCATGTCGTGAAAAGCCAAGTGTTAGGGATAGCTGTTTGCTCAACAAGCGTTTCCCGTTTGTTCAAAGCTTACTTCCTAATTACATGAAACTCCTGCACCTGAACGAACAGGTATGGCGAGCTTACTCCTCTTTGTAGACACCATGAAACACCCTGAAATTCCAGCCTGGAGTGAAAAAGAAAGCAACATCGTAAGATGGACAGGCAGAAGCGCTGAGCGTCAACTCGGACGGAATCGCCAAGGACTGCAGCTGGTGCCAGCTGTTCACATACTGATTCTCCAACGACGCCGTCAAGGATCCGGATCCTTCGTCGTCTGCCTGCTCCCACGTTTCTGACCGTTCACCAATCGAGGTAAGACTGGAGACGCCACAGTAAGACTAATTCCTGGACCCTGGTAACGTTCTCAACATGTCATACAAACTCAACGATCGCAACTTCAGCTCTCTATATCTGTATCGATGACCAAATCAAGTCGAGGACCTTTCACAGGGATCCGCCAGGCCTGCGATGCCTGCCACTTTAAGAAGATCCGCTGTCTGCGAGGTCCGGAAGAAGGCGACGGGCCATGTCAGAAATGCAGCCGCGAAGGCGTCGCATGCGTCTTCAGTCCCGCGTTGAAGACGGGCAGACCACCGAAGAAGCCCCTTGCGGCGATCCATCCCGAACCTGGGCCAGCTCTGACACCGCCATCGACCTTATCCTCAGACACTCCATCACAGCCTATCGATTCAGTTTCCCAGGCTTCACCATCTACGTTGGACGAACTACCGATCCCCTGGGAAGCATGGGACGGCATGGATATGGGCATCGTCTGCTTCCCTTCGGCAGACTGTCCCCTGCAACATGACTTTGACGAATTGAAGAAGGCCGCCAAGCCGGAAGTCATCGTTCTCAAGCGGCTCGAGCAGCTTTCAGCGTTCCAACAGCAGCTCGTCGCAAAGAGAAGGGAGCATGCCGCCGTGTTCTCCCGGCAGCTTGGGACCGATGCCTCCAACGCCATACAGGAGATGCTGCAAATCACCCAGAAGGTGACAAAGTTCAACGCCTGGCTGATGATGGGCGGCGCCAAGTTCGCCTTCCGCAAGCCCATGCTAGACTCTATGTCAGACGAGACGGCTCTCATGATGGTTGTATCGCCAGCCACGATGGTCCTGGAGGTTTTTGTTGACATTCTTGAGCTGGCGTTTCCGTCCCTGAAGAAGCGGTCATCGGATTCGGACTCTGGCGAGAGCAGTATATGTGCGATCAACCCAGCGCTTCTGTCAAACGCCAGCATGAAAGAGCTCGGGTTTGCGCCGACCGCTGTGCCCGACATTACAGCTGTGCATGATCTTGCGAACCCGGTGTGTATCTACATTCTCCTGACAGCGCTCCAGGATCAGCTGGACTCGATGCGGAAGGCTGTCGAACTAGCTTTGGACTCGTTCCCGAGGATGGATTCTGCTAAGGGAGCTCAAGGTTTGTTGCCTGCGATTATGGATCAATATTCTGAAAAGATTCGCCATGTTCAGGGGCACATCACCAAGGCGGGTGGGGACAATCTAATGACTGGGCTGGATTGATATCGACTGCCTCATATGGTGTCAACTTCACGTCGACAAGCCCGCCGACCATCCCCATTTATGAACACCCTTTTCCCCAAGAAACTGCTCTTTTACTGGATTTGGTTTCCTATCTTTCGTGTCTATATGTCGTGTGTTCAATCTGCTTCACGGGGCTGGACTAAGGGCGGTTTCTAGATGCGCGGAATCTTCTAGCTTACCGGGCGGACTACTGCCTTCTATATGAAAAGACGATTCCTTCATGATTATCTCTATGATTACTACTATAGTTAGTGTCGTTATTATCGTTGTCATCGGTTTCTTCTTTTCGTCTTCTTCGTCTTCTTCGTCTTCTTCGTCTTCTTCGTCTTCTTCGTCTTCTTCGTCTTCTTCGTCTTCTTCGTCTTCTTCGTCTTCTTCGTCTTCTTCGTCTTCATACTTGATACTGCTGCTGCGCAACCACATATGGAAAATGCAATTGGGATGTGCTTGTACGCAATACAGCAAAACATGGCAAAAAAGCCCCACCCATTCGAAAGCCATTCCTTGGCTCTTTCTATCTGACACTCACATTTGCCCTTCAACGTCGCATTGCAATACACCAACATAGAGCTCTTCATTTGGAACCACTAGATTGTAAGTCCGTTCCCAAAGACTCTTACCGGATACGGCAGGCCCAAGAATCCCCACTGGCCGCCGGGATCCGCATCTTGCCGGATGCTGCATGGGTGGATCTAAATAAGGGCGGGAAGCGCGCGACTCCGCAACTCGCCCACACCACCTCAAAAGAAACCAGCAAAAATTGAAACAACCCATTCAAGAATGAAATTGACTGGCTGACTCCTCGACGGGGAATTGAACCCCGGTCCCCGGCGAGCATTGAATGACAAGCCGATATCCTCACCACTAGACTATCGAGGATTGAGTTGATTGGTTGACGACCTTATTCACAAACGCACTTAAGAAGGGTTGCCGTCCTGAGCCCCACAGGCGAACTACTACAACATGTTCGCAAAGCAGTGGAATGGCCTTGTTGTGATGCTGTTCATAACTTTGGAGGCTCTATCATAGCCTTCGTTGTGGCTCCTTGCCGCTTAGTGAGGTGGTCGAAAGTGTGAGGCCCTCACCGTAACTGCAGACAGCAACATGAACCGGACTTTCAGCCAGCGATGGGAATATGATAAGTGTTTTGTTTCCAATAGGATTTGAGCGGTATCTATGGTTTTCCGCGGACAAAGACCTCATGTTGTGTTAGATGGGTCTTTCCAAGTTCAAGAAATTCATTCAAGGGACGGTGCCTTCAAGATCTTGTCTTTGATCTCGTTCTCCGGACATTCGATTTAAACATCGTAATGACGTTCGGGTTTCAATTGAAATGAGGCGAACCTCCACCAAAGTCTTGACACAGGCTTTATTCTCGAGGCGATGTAGTTCATTTGGCTACCAAGCTCCAACAGAGTCGTATAATTCTGAAGCTATGAAGTCATGTCCTGAATCAGTGTTGACAAGTCGATCGCGATTGAGTTGCAAGGAGTCGTGTGAAACAGCCGTTCGAGACCACGGTCGAGACTGAAGATCCCATTCCTAGAACGCGCACCTTCGGGCAAGCGATACTCATGGTTCAGCATGGGCCAGCGCGCGGCGTAATCCATCAAGCATAGAGGCTGTCCGGCAAGCTCACCCTCGACAAATCAGACCGTCCAACGGCTCCCATCGGAAAGTTCAGAGAAGGGATATCCCCTCACGGCTTGGCTGTGCTTCAAAGGCTAAAAGACAGGGCGCATTGAATACCCGCCCGTGGTGAACCTTGGGGTGGGAAGCAGGCCGTTGTCAATTGTGCATGGCCCGACTCATTTACATCGTCCAAACCGAATTCAGACTGCAGTAAAGTCGACAATTAGCTGACTTGGCAAACATTTCGACTTTGCCATGAATAAAGAAGCCGCCACACCACCCTGGCGCTAGGTTGCGAATACTAGCAGGCCAGTCGCTGCAAGTTTCCCGTCTGCGAACCGCTTTAGAGCGGAGGCATGCCGTCACCTTTATGGAAACTTCAGATGAAACCAAGGCCTCGAGTTGTTCGATGATGGCTGAGCAATAAAACCAAGACGTCTTGGAGTTTGGTGTGCAGACGGACAAGTTGCCATCTCTCTCACTCCATTAGCAGTCCCGATTCCTTCCCGGTTAGCAAACATCCCCGGTGGTTTGTCGTCGTCTTCAACATGTCGTTGGATAACCTCACCTTCAAGAGCCACACAATCACGATCGCCAAAGACGCGCCGTCGCTGATCTTGTCGCCATGGAAAGTCTTTGACAAGGTTTTTGCCTCGATTGCGGGGTATCCGGCCAGCGAGTTCGAGTACGCATACGGTAGCACGCCGCTTTCGACTTTGACGGAGACGCTGGCTATTATCGCGCTGTACTTGGTCGTCATCTTTGGCGGACGCGAGGTGATGCGGGAACGAAGGCCTCTCGAACTCAACGGCCTCTTCAAGATTCACAACCTGTTTCTCTCTGTTCTGAGCGCAGCATTGCTTCTTCTGATTGTCGAGCAAATCGTCCCGCAACTCTGGCGCGATGGCCTTTACCACAACATCTGTACATACGCTGGCGCCACACAACCGTTGGTCACTCTATACTATGTAAGTCATCAGAACCCAGGTCTCGAGTCCTCATTCCCTGGTTAACATCGAATCATAGGTCAATTACCTCGTCAAGTACTACGAGCTCATCGATACCGTCTTCCTGATGGCGAAGAAGAAGCCCCTCACCTTCCTCCACTGCTACCATCATCCCGCGACAGTCTTCCTCTGCTTCACCCAGCTTTACGGCAACACGCCCATCTCATGGATCCCTATCTCGTTGAATCTGCTTGTCCATGTGGTGATGTACTGGTACTACTTTCAAGCCGCTCGCGGAGTTAAGGTGTGGTGGAAGAAGTGGATTACGAAGCTGCAAATCATGCAATTCGTCCTTGACCTTGGTGAGTCGCACGTCCATGAATTCCGTAACGATCAGAGAACTCTGGTGCTGACTGTGTACCCTTCACCCAGGCTTCATCTACTTCGTCTGCTACGACCACTGGGCCGACGTCTACTACCCCTGGCTCCCACACATCGCCCGTTGCGAAGGTGAAATCACTGCGGCTGTCACCGGCTGCATCGTCATCACCTCCTATCTGCTACTTTTCGTGGCGTTCTACATCAACACGTATAGAAGTGCCAGCCGCAGCAGGGCTGCAGCTCAAAAGCCCAAAGCGGGCACCAGCGAGAAGGCAGCCCTCTCGGCAGCTGCGGCGAGAGACGCGACGACACCAGTTCAGACCTGAAATGTAATTTCGATGAGCGCATGTATAAACCGGGTGATACCCATGGGAAATCCTGGCTCTGGACAGATCAGAGCTCGAGGTCGGACGAAGTTTCAAACACCAAGGTAGAGTTCTGTGGCGGGGAGAAGACGTGGGGGTGGCGGAATGGTCAATGCAGATGGCCAACGGCTTGATGTTCAAGGCCATGCCGGACAATGAGCAATCCTGTAATATTCGTATGTTGGCTCACTAATGTCGACTAACTTGATTCCTGTGTATTTCTATCCAAGAATTGACAGAGGCTGCCCATGGATAATCAACAACGCCTCGATATGGTTACCTGAAGAGTCCGACGGCTCGAATCATGTCTTGTACCATATGCGGAATACCAAGCAAAGGCAGGGAACCGTAGTTCGACCTAATCCCAGTTCGGACGACCTTTTCCTTTGCAACTCGTCCCGTCCCCCCTCCACCCTGGCAGCAAGCTTTCGTTTCTTCCTCATCACCAAGCAAGCAATGGCCAACCCCAGAAAGACGATGTTCTACCAAACAATCAGCATTCACATGCGAAAACTTAGTAACATTTGAACCAGCGAAGTGAAATGCAGACAGCAGGTTCCCGCCTCATATGTCTCAGTAAGCGCTCCGGAGTGGACTCCGGCAGTCGCCCACTGGGCGGGTTGATCGACAGCAGGCATCCCCCTGTTGTGCGTACTCTTCGCATTCTTCAACCTCTGGGGAGAAACGCGAGCATCGAGATCTTCATAAGCGCGGCCCGGATAATCGCGACATTGGGACACCGTGCCCGCTCTTCGGATCGGTCACTCCCGCTCTGCGTCCGTGTGTGCAGCGCATAAGCAGCCTTGGGCTCATCGTATCCTTTTTCGCGAGATATGCCGGACAGCCACACAGCCTCACTTCTGTTCTCTCGAGGCAAACTTGAAAAGACTTCGGGTGGCACAACGGTTCTGCAGCAGAACAACATCATAGCATTCAGATCTCGTCCGTTCCCTGCGACGCAAACCGGCTGTTTCCGTCGATCTTGTGCGTGCGTACCGTCCGGGAACCCGGTCCGAGTACGCTTCCCATCGGCCTCCCGCACGGCGCTTCGGCGTCGTCTTGTCGCCATTGCCTGGGGAAGTTTTCGTAGGTATTCCGACCTGCATTAGACCCTGAACCGGCGCAAGGTCGAAGTGAATCCAGTGTATCTTCGGCAGAGAGCTATGATTTGTGCTCGAAGCCGATTTGACGCGGATCGAGCCGGCGTTCCTGGTGCCTTGCTTGCATTCCTGCAGCTACCTGGCTAGCAAAAATGTTTCGTTTCCCGCCAAAGAGAAAGAAAACACATGTTTTGTGTTGTAACAAATCTGTTGAATCATTTTCGTTTGAGCCATTCGCAGCGGCTACACCCGTGTGTTTCTTTCAGAGGCATCTGAACCTGTACTTACACATCCAAGCCTCCATCCAACCCCAGATTCCAACCATCAATCCATTCTTCTCTGTCAACAATCAAGTTTCACCTTCTTCAAACCCCAGAATAGCTCCAACTTTCTCAATGACCCCAAGGCAGCTTCCCGTCCTTCCAATTGGCCTTCCCAAAGTCACCCACCAGCACCGGCTCGCGCCTCTGTCGCCGAGTCACCCCTCACCATCCCTTAGCTCCCCCGAGGACTCCTTTGTTCGTCCCCTCAACTCAATGACATCAACTAGTCCGTTTTCCTCCCCACTGGTTCTCGACCCTTTCCCGGAAACATCCTCCCCCTCCACCCGCGCGTGAACGCTAAACCCAATCCCTCCATCAAATCGCCCACTGGCTTCGTCCCCCGTTAGCTCTGCGGCCCACGTTCGCCCAATCAGAGACCACTCCGTAAGACTTTGGGGTCTCATCGAAAAACTACGCAGCAAAAAGAGATAGGCCAGACCAGGCCAAAGACCCGCGCCGTCTGCAGGGTCATCCGGCCCCGGCTGACCTGCATGCCGACCTGACTTACACACAAACCCGACCCCGGGCAAGAACCGAGACAAACAAACGACGATCTCGTCCCCACGCCGGTGCTTATCTCAAAACGCCACCAAAGCGATGACACCAAGTCAAACACCGTCCCGCCCAGCTGAAGACGTTCCCTTCAGTCCTCGCGCGGCGCCACCGACGATGAGGTCGTCACGATTAGCGTCCGGACAGGCGAGACAAGGTCGATTGCCGAGTGAGATTTGTGGAGGGGACGTGAGTGTGTGTGTGTGTGTGTGTGTGTGTGTGTGCTTGTGTGTGGAGGAGGGGAAGGGCCTCTGTTTCTTTAAGCTGGATGAGGACACCACCACGCCCACAGACCTGTCATATCACCATCTAGCACTGACATCCGTCATCCAAGTCAAAACTCGTCGGTTCGCCTCAAGTAGAAGGCTTGTCTCGTCGCAAAATTCCTCTTGCTAGAGTGGCTGAAAGCCTCAAGACTCACCCACCATGGCCCGCGACGACGACAGCAAGTCACCCGACGGGTCTCTACGGCGGCCGTCTCTGGGGTCGAGAGATGAGCGTCCGTCCTCGGAATTCCTGGGCGCTGAGCGCTCCCGCATCTCCATCATCGCAGAGGACTCAGACGAGCGTACCGACCGCACTTCCGGCTCATCTCCAGAACTAGACGATGTCGACGAAAAACCGTCCCGGTCGTCGTCTTACTCCGACCACGGCGACGACGATGACGACGACGAGGAGATTCTTCCTGAATCCCTCACGGAGGACTGGGAGGAGAAGATGTCCCGCTTCTCCCAAGCAAACACGCTCCAGGACCGCCGCCGCCGAGAATCAGAAACCGTCGTAGTCCTCCCCGACGACAAGGCAGACCGGAGGAAGAGCACCGGCAGCGCAACCTCGACCGTGTCCCGCTGCTCACACTGCGGGCACCACCGCCGCGCCTCGTCAGTCACGCTGGCCAACGCCCCAGCGATTCCGATGCGCAAGTCCTCCCTGCCGCAGCGGCACGGCTCCCTGCGGATAACACCGCGCGTGCAGCCAATGTCGCCCAAGGCGGCGGCCGCCTCGGAAGCCGCCGCCGCCGCTGGTTGTTCGGAGCAGCGTGCGTTCCCACTGAATGTGAAGAGGGTTCCCTCGCATGCCATGTCAGACGTGCAGGTGGCGCGGCACGTGCAGAGCGACGGCAACAACTTCTCTGAGCCGCGCTCCGAGACGGCATCGATCATCTCGTCAATCTTTGCGCCATCGCTGCGGCATCTGGCGAGCCATCCGTCTCTGAACGGGTCGTTGGGCTCGCCGGTGAGGAGAGGGTCGATCGTCACGCCTGTTGCTGAGCAGCGGCATCCTGGAAAGGCTGGGGCGCGGATCAGTCGCTTCACGAGGCCGTTTGAGCCGGATATCGACGAGGATGACGGGGAGGATTACCTGCGGCAGGTGAGGAGGTTAGAGGCACTCAGAGCACAGCAGAGAATCTCGCAAGTGCTGGCGGCGGACATATTTTGCGAGAAGGAGGAATGGGTTGAAGGGTGGCCGTTGGTTTTCCTCATCATCGGTATCTGCCTTGTGGTGTTTATAATCTCGGTGCACAGGACGATTATCACGACTGTAAGTTGAATGGCTGTGTTGGGGTGACGCGATGCTGACACAAGTAGGCAATTCCTCAAATTACCTCAGAATTCAAGTTCACGTCGGATATTGGGTGGTACGGTTCAGCATATCTTCTCACGGCTTGCGCTTTCCAGCCTCTTTTTGGCAGAATCTTTGTGCTCTTCTCGGTCAAATGGTCGTACCTTCTGGCCATGCTGATGTTCCTTGGCGGATCTCTCATATGCGCCCTATCTCCAAGTTCGATGGTCCTCATCATCGGCCGTGCCGTGGCTGGATCTGGAAGCGCTGGCATTCTCACGGGCAGCTTCGTTGTAGTTGCAACTGCGATTCCGTCGAGACTGCGACCGGCTTACACAGCCATCGTAGGACTGATGTATGAGACGTCCCCCACCACAAGACCCAATGTTTGCTGACTTCCTGCAGGTTCGGAATTGGAACCACTGTTGGTCCTCTCCTCGGTGGTGTTTTCACTGAACTCGTCGTAAGTCAACCAATCTAACTAGTTCCCTGAAATGAGACTGATAAAGCGTTAGACGTGGCGATGGAACTTCTTCGTAAACCTGCCGGTCGTAGGCGCCAACATGATCATCTTCCTCGTCTTCTTTCATCCCAGACAGCCCCCTCGCGTGAGACCGAGGTTCCTCGACAGAATTCTGGAGCTCGACCTCCTCGGCAATATTTTCCTCTTGGGCGCCTGCGTGATGCTGTTCATGGCCCTCGAACTTACCAACCGTGGCCAAGCATGGTCGAGCATCAAGATCATCGGCCTCTTGTCGGGATCAGGGGCGACCGCTATCGTTTTCGCAGCATGGCAATGGTGGAGGCAGGACGGAGCATTGATCCCCCCGGCCATCATCACCCACCGAACAGTCGCGGCATCCTGCGTCGCTGCCTTCTCCACGTACGGCGCGCTCATGATCCATACGTATTTCCTGCCGCTGTGGTTCCAGGCAATCCGCGGCGAGGATGCCATCATGTCCGGCGTGGACATGATACCCTACGTGGCGACCATTGGCATCTTCTCCCTGCTCTCAGCGGTCTTCGTATCGGTCGTCGGCTATCCCGTGCCCCCGGCAGTCGTGGGCGGCATGATCGGCACAGCAGGCTGTGGCGTTCTGCGTTTGCTGTCTCCGAGCACACCGATCGCCTATTGGATAGGTTTCGAGATCCTCGTGGCTGCAGGCTTTGGCATGTCGATCCAGCAGGGCTTGACTGCGGTGCAAGCCGTTCTCCCACCAGATGACATTTCTGTTGGCACCGCTGCTGTCGTCGCTTCTCAGTCTCTGGGAGGCGCCATCTTCGTCTCTGTGGGCAACATGCTGTTCCAGAATTACCTCCTGCGCGCTGCGGCTAAGAATCTGGTTCCTGGTGTCAACATTCGCGCGGTGCTTAGAGCTGGTGCCACAGCTTTCCGTACAGTAGTTCCTGCAAGCGCGTTGCCCAGAATGATGACGGTGTACAATGATGCTTTGAGGGTTACTTTCACAGCGGCCATCCCTTTGGCAGGGGTAGCAGCTATTGCGGCATGCTTCATGGAGTGGAAATCAGTCAAAGTAAAGAAGGCTGCGTAGCTGTAGACAAGTGGAGGATTAAAATATGAAATACGATTGCTCAAATGAACATTGCAATTCCCCCTTGACCCCTGGCCCCATCGATGGCGCTCGGGGGCTGAAAATAAAGTGTGCCTTACCCGCGGCATTATCGGCTGTTGGAGAGACATCAACGGGAGCTTGTAGCAAGCCACTCCACACCTCTGCATCATCTCGTTGGCGTATTTATTTAAGGCAGAATTACAGGAGCAGATTGAGGTCCCGCCGACTTCGATTCGCCTTGTAGGGACGATTTGAGGGGCGCCGGTGTGCTGCTGAAACCTTCTAGCTGCCACAATCGCGACGTGATTCGTCGTATGAGCCGGCGAGCGATCAGGGATGCGAATCCCATGGCGAGCAACCCCAGTTTTGTATGACCGCAAGTCTTCGAACCAGAGCGCGAGCAACCGGTGTTGTATGCATTTGCGGAAGGCGGGAAACAGGGGTAAGTCCAGCCGCCAAGAAGCTGCAGTACAACGCAAAAGCAACGTCGGTGGTTCATTGCAGTGATCTGCGCCGCGCGGTACCTTTGGTATTTATCAGTGTTCGTCCCGGGTTTGACTTATTCTCTCTCCCCCCCTCTCTTGTCGCCCGAATCTTTCTCCAACTCAATGTGAAAATGCAACTGTCGTGCTGGTTTCTCGCAACGCTCCCGCTGGCGTCCTTGGCGGCTGGACAGACACAGACATGCTACTGGCCAAGCGGTTCGTCGGCACCTCTACTGCAGGCCTGTTCGGTGGGCTCGGGCAACGAAGCTGCCGCATGCTGTTTCAATAATCATTATTGTATGACCAACGGCCTTTGCCTATCGCCAACTGAAGGAACTTGGTATCGGGGTGGGTGTACGGACAAAGACTTTCAGCAGACGGGATGTCCGAAATATTGCGATACAACTGATATTGTAGGCGCAAGTAAGTCGATTTCTTCAAGGTTCAGTCGCGACAAAGGCGCAAGCCTGGCAGATGAAGACTGACTCGGTTTGGCAGCACCGAATCGTCATGCGGCAGTGTGGGCATGCGCTTCAAAAGTCTTCGCCTGCACCAGTCTCGATAACTGCTCGAAGCAGAACTTCACTGTTGGAGCATACAGAGCGGTCATGAATGTGGCCCTCTCGACGGACCTCGCCGATAGCGCAACGACGGCAACAGCGTCAGCCACCAGTGGAAGCACGAGCGGCTCAAGTACGGCCTCAAGTGATGTGACCGGTTCCACATGTCCGGCTACAGAGAATGGAATCTCGACAGGCGCGGCGGCCGGCATCGGGGTGGGCGTTGGTCTGCCGTTGGCCCTCGCGGTTGGCGCGCTGACCTTCATGCTCATGCGCGAGAAGAAGAGGTCAAGAGCGGCGCAGGCGAGATATCAGCAGCCTGGATACGGCCAACAGCCCGGATTCAATCAGCAGCCCTACACGAGCACGCCGTCGCACTGGGGCAAGCCGGAAGGGCACTTTGTCCCCAACGAGGTATCGGGACACGCAGCGACACATGAGCTGGCGGATACCCAAGGCAGACACGAGCTTGGCCATTGACGAAGGAAGGCCTCAGGGTATTGACGGACGAAATAACGACGATTCGCGGAGCCAAATCTCATCGTGGGGACATGGTCAAGTCGCCTGAAAAGGCTGGCAGGAGTCGCTGGGAGGGTAACGAACCCCTTGGCGCTGGCAATAAATGCCATGATCCTGCCATTCCTGGCTGCCTGTTCTTGTCAAGATAGAGAGACATGAGGGCACCAACGCGTGGACCAGCTCTGACAATCCAAGTCGATGCCGACGGTGCGTTGGTCGACCTGAAGCCACCGCGAGGTGCTAACGACGGGTGAAGGCCTAGAAACCAAGGAGCGGCATGCGCGCATGCGCTCAGGTGGCATTTGAAGTCGGGACAAGATCTGGAAGCTGGGGTTGATCCTTTCCAGGCTGGAGGATTCGGGACGGCGGGAGATGGACATGAGCAAGTCATCAGGATTGCCGAAAGAAGGAAGGGGGGCCCCATCAGACAAACCACTTATGCGGCTTATGCACAAGCCGAGGGCCGTGCCGCTGCATAATATTTATTCACGTACTAGTTTACGAGTCAACCAATCACATTTCATCGGATGCCTGAATTCTAGCACGTCCCCTACCCGCCGACATGTCTTCTCTCAATCATCCACCTTACAAACATCGACTTGCATCAGCCTCTTTATCGTCCGCCAAGCGTATCATCGCCTGACGCGCCGCGATCTTTTGCCTCTGGTGATTCCATCATGAACATGAGGCTTCAATGATAGTGGGCATCGCTCTCAATATTAGCCGCGGGCCAATTGAACGTGTGTGGCCGAGACCTACGTACAACGGATGACTGACTTCGTCAGCAGGGTCTCCCAGAAATGGCACAGACACCATCATGACCACCATGAACCACGTTTCTGGTATCTCCGAACCACAGACTCGGGCATCCTCTCTTCGCTCTTCTCCTGCTCTGCCTTGACACCACCACGATCCAGCCACTCAAAGCGCTGAAGGTGGCTCATGGCGTCCTTTCCAGGAAACCCCTTACACTAGCGCCCTCCAGGGCTGACTCTTCTCCATTTTGGGCCGTACCAAGCTGCATGGACTCGCGCCGGCGCCCCAGGTTGCGGCTCACAACGAGCGTTGTGCGCTACGCGGTGCTTCTCTTTGTCAGGCGATAGTCATCGCTGGATCAATCTCGCTCAGTCTCAATTGGGTCTGGGCCCAGGCCAGATTCATGCAGCAGTAAGCACCAACATGGAAGAAGAAAGCTCCATTCAGGTTCCCACGGCGTTTGCCGTTTCTCTTTCGGCAGATGCGTGACGGAGCTTGCTATCCCGCGGCCATGGCATCTCCTGCGGGCGCCAGCCAAGCGGCGTTCTAGCACCTAAATGTAATTTAATTCTGCGATACTGGGAGACGTTGGAGCCAGTCTCGTCCCCGGCGACCCCTGTTTAAGACTCATAACCAACCCAGATCTACACCTTGACGCCTTAACCACTTGTCTGTTACGTCAATATCCTCAAAAAGTTATTCCTTCAGCCTTGCGTTTGCAAGTCAACCCCTTAGCTGGGTGCTCTTGGCTTGAATTCGGCATATAACGATCGTACCTCGAGCCAAGATTGCTCCGCGCGCAAAAAGATGGACGACCGCGAGGCCTAGTACCACCAGCAGCAACTCGAATGGCATCAGAAGAAGCATGAACAACAGGTGCAACGACAGCGGCAGCTTAGAGGACCCGACGATGAGGGGCAGTCACATTCGCCAACATCTTCCTCGCCGCCGCCGCCACACTCGCCCAAGTCTTTGCAGCAAACATCCCTGACAACTCTTAAGAACGACGACGAGAAATCCCAGAGCAAGCAACAGACTCTGCTCGACGAGCAGCCAGGTCTCGAGCCGGCGCCAGTACGCTGGTCCAACGCTCCGATCCCATACACAACACATGACGTTCAGAGTCCAGCGGGGCAGAGCTCAGTTGTGAGCCCAGGAGCTTTGAGTCCTGGAGGGCAAACGCTCACTTCAGACGCGAAGTGGCTGGAGAGCCAACTCTACGCCGTGCCAGTTGAGTCAACATCATCACCACCGCCACCGCCAATTGGCAAGCGACGGATTCTCGGTCTTTCTGTGCCTGTCTTCTGGGGTCTTGTCATTGCCCTGGTGATTGTCCTGGCTGCAGGACTCGCCGGCGGCGTCGCAGGCGGTCTGATAGCCCAGAAGGCCAGCGCCTCATCCGAGTAAGTCAAGTCGAACCGAGCTCGAATCTTTGCCAAGCTAAACTTTCAGCAGTCCAACGTCAACCGCCGACTCCGCGTCTTCCAACCCATCGGCAACCACGACAGCCGCAACCTCCGCCGCGGCCACCGCCCAAGCCTCCGGCAGCGTTCTCCCCGCCCCCACCGACGGCGGATGCCCCAAGATTAACTCGACGACCTTCACCCCGCTCGATGCCGAGGGCGAGGCCATGGGCCTGAGCAACGGCCAGGGCCAGATCTTCCGCCAGCTGTGCGAGGTCAACTACCCTGGCGGAGCGGCCTATGGCAACCCCGGCATCTACGACATCCTCAAGGCGTACGTCTCGACGTTTGACGAATGCATGACACTGTGCGCGGCGCACAACCAGGCGTATTACCTCAATCTCGGCAACGGGGACGTGGCGAAGGGGGGATATTGCCGGTCTGTGGCTATGATCAAGACGCCGGGCGAGTATTGCTACTTGAAGAATGGCACGGGTGTGTCGGATACTTTCGGGCATCCAAAGGACTTTGTCAGTGCAGTTGTCGTTTCTGGTCTAGATGTCTAGTGTTGGTTAATGAAGTGATTCGGACCGTTTCTCATTGGTGAATGCGCGGCGTTGGGGTAAAAGGAATACCATCAGTTAATGTTCTACCACTATGATCTACCAAACCAAAGTCTGTTTCTTCGCGTGGATTCAGAACCAGCTTTTGCCAAACACATCAAGACATGTCATGTCACAAAGAGTTGTTGTCATGCGTCAATCGTGTCGCGTTATCATTTCATGCTCATCTAGCTGTGTACTCCGTCTTCGTCGGCCAACATGGCCTGCCGAACACGTCCCGAGGTCTGCTTCTTCCGCTGCTAGCCCATAGAGATCCCGGCAGCTACCTCACTTCTTGCTGGAACCGCCGTAGCCGGAAGAAGACTTGTCGCCGCTGGACGAGGTGTAGGTCGAGCCGCCCTGGCCGTCGTTATAGTAGGTGCTTCCGTTGGGGTTGGAGTAGTAGTACGATCCGTCACTATTTGATCCGACAAACGTCAGCCCGATACCACCAGGCCAAGACAATGGGGACTTACGAGTTGGAGTAGTGGTACGAGTTCGAGTTCGAGGCACTGCTACCGTAGTCGCGGGCGCAGTAGTGGTTGCCCTGTGAACCCGTCATAGTCAGCCAGCGTGTCGGCTCAGGTGAGATTGAGGAGGTCGGACCTGGCTGTTGGTGCCGGAGCTCTTATACGAGTATCCCTGGTTGCTAGGCATCTTGGAGGTTATTCAGAGATTCTTGAGTCTGTGAGTGTAGAGGTGAGGTTGATTTGCTTCCTGGTCAGTGGCTTGTTGGAGGAGAGTCAGGGGAGTGACTATCTAGAGAGGCGGGGGAATTAAATAGGAGGTGGATCCCAAGCCATCAAGCCTTCCTCCCCGCATCTTAGATTGCTGGGACAGGGAAGCTTCCTGTTGCTGCAGGGGAAGCTGCAAACAAAGGGAAGCTACGGCGAATTAGGCCGTGCGCCTAACCTTCTGTCTTCAACTCTGCTTGATAGAGCCAACGGTGCGCCATTTTTTTGACAAGCGAGCACTTTCCAAACAGAAAGCATGTTGAGAGGTTGAAGCTCGCTCTTCAACAAGCAGCTTGTGATAAGGGAGCTTTGGCCGCGTGACGTCTATCAGGACCCTGCCGCGCCAGGGACTTGACGCTATCGTGAGGTTTGCATGGCAGGGCTATCCCAGTACGTCTTGGCAACCTCACCGAACACTGAAGCCGTGGGGTAGGTTGGTATGTCGAGCTCGGGACAGCAACATAGGTGCCGACGGAGACTTTTGAAAGTCAAGCTAAGACGCCAGGCCGAGGCTCAACTGAACATTAGGATTCTTGAGTCGTGGTCGAGAAGTGAGAAACTCACGGAGTCAGCTAGGCGCGCAAGCTTGCTGACTGAGTCGTACTCAAACTGGAGAGTGAGGGGTTCCGAACGAGTACCAACGTATGGACAACCTCAGATGCCCCAACACTGACGAGCTACCTTCCAGCGAAAACCCGACGCAATGACTTGAAATTGAGGACCTAATAGCTTCCAATCAAACGTAGAAATCATATTTTGCACCTGGTATATGCGAATAAAGAAAGCAAGCAGGCAGCCCTCCCATATTGCACCAAACCAAAAATCAAAAGCAGGCCAGCAAAAGCCACACCAATTTCCCCCAAACCCCATATGCATCATCAGAACCGTCATCCCGTTCATTGGACCATCAAATCATTTCATACCAACGCTTGACAAACCAAAAAAGTCAGCATCTCATCTCATTCAAGCCAAGAAAAGAAAACAAGAAGTAAAAGAAACCCCCACGGCGGCAAACGGAAATAGCAAACCAACGCCCCCTCTTCCCCCAATCCAAGGACCTCGCGCCCCTCCTGTGTGATCGGCCCCCGCAAAAAAAGAAATTCTTCAAGTGACAAGGCTCCGTTAGATAAGATCTCACTTACTTCTTTCCGTATCCGGAGCACGTCCGGTATCCACTGGCCGAGGTGAACGTCGACCCGCCGTTGCCGTCATATTTTCCCCCGTTGTTGGGATTGGCGTAATGGTAAGAGCCGTTTCTGCGCGAATTTCCTGCCCATCAGTCTTTGCTGCTTCGTCGTCTTCCTAGCCGGAACCGTGGGTTTGCCGTGATGAGAGGCGTTTGAAGGGGGGTAGAAGAGCTTACATGCTGTTGGGATGGTGGTATCCGTCTTGTTTTGAAGAAGAGCCGCCGGCGTCGCGGGGGATATGTTGGCTGCCCTGTGTCTCTCTGATTGTAAGCATGGGAAACCTCCATCCTCCGAAGCCTCGGCATCGCGAGATTAGAGTTTCCGGGATGAGATTTTCTTTCTTACCTGGCTGGTACTCCCCGAACTCTTGTAAGTGTACCCCTTGTTGCTTGGCATGTTGAATTCGTGTCGATATAGTGGGCGGGGAGGGCTGGCGGCGGATATCTTGATCCTTCTCGAGCGCGGCTTCAATTCATCCAAGAATCGGAGGATATGAGTTTCGATGGAGCTTTCGTCGGGGTTGGCGTTGTTCACGAGACAGACAGGGGGCAAGTTTGGCGTGTGAGAGAGGGGCAAAAACAGTTGAGAAAAAGGGGGATAGCCGGACACTTTAAAAGGCACCAGAAGCAGGCAGCTTTTAGCGGCCAGGTGGAGATGGGAAAGGTGAATGCAATGGTTCTCTCCAACCCACGACGAGTTATACACACCTACGAGAGAGTTTTACGGGCACATGGGCTGATCATGGCGATGCGTGTTTTGAAACGATACGCTTGCCTATTACCCCGCCCTTGGACGAAAGACATACTAAGTAGGCACATAGCACGACACGGGCGTACACACACGCGCCCGCGCGCACACACACCCTTCACGCACACGGACGACTTTTCGGGCAGAGCTGCGTGTATTCTTTTTGGCAGTCTGGCCGTCAATGCCTTGGACGGGGGTTGGGTATGGATACACCAACAATCACAACACCACATCAACGATGGGACGACTGGGGAGGGAGGGACGCGGGGACCCAGAATGAAGCTAGCTGCCGGCAGCAAGGAACCACATCAGCAGCAAGAAGCAGCAGCAGTAGAAGCAGCCAAGCGGGCTGACGGGGGAAAGTGGGCAGGGCGAAGATGTGCGCCGCCGCCGCCTCGTGGGCCGAGCGAGGCGACAGACAAATAATAGGCGAATGACATTCCGTAAAGCCATGCGCTGGCATTGCGTCTGGGCCTGACTTCGGGGGTATTTTTAAGCTCCATGTGGGGGTGCTGGGTGAGAGCTGCTGCTGCTGCTGCTTGCTGCCCGCTGTTGCTGATGGCAGCTGGTTTTTATGGGACGAAGCGAGCAGAAAGCCGTCCGAGGGGTGGGTAGGCAGGCGGGCAGACAGAAGCAACAGGGACACGCAGTGTTGGTGGTGGTGGTGGCTCTCGGATGTGGGCAAGGTTGGGACGACATGGCAACTTGGATTTTACGGCGACGACGGCGGTCCAGGGGTGCGCATTGGGGGCAAGGGAGGGAGGGAGGGTCAAAGGTGAACGTGGGAAAAGCTTCACTACCACCCCCCCTCCTCCTGGTACCTGTCTGTCTGTCGCCGCCGCTGCCGATGATGGGTTCTTGGAGAACGCATGCTCCAATGGACGGCGCCCACATGCAGCGAGAACCGGGAACGCCCGGCCGGCCTTAGGTTGAAAAATGTCTCTCGATCAGAGGTGCGGGTGGTGGGATACGCAGCTTATATCTCCGAGGTCCCGGCTTCGGTGCCTCGGACCTGGCTCCGAGCGGGTAACATCTCATCTCATCAATCTTCGGGAATCTGGATCTTGGAAGGGATCTAGAATGTCACCCCTTTTCTTTCCAATCTCGGTTACGCGTGAAATCATAAAAGTCTATTTCTTCTTTTTTTACCTCCTACTTGTCTAAAATGGTCTAAGAGGCTCTAGTGGAATATGTGCAGAGAGTGGCTCTCAAAGATGATGGTCAAGTCATTGCTTGTTGTCCTTGACGTCGCCGTCCTCGAGCTCGGCGATGAACTTCTCGGCGTCCAGGGCGGCCATGCAGCCGGAGCCTAAAAGCGATATCAATGTCAGCAAATGTCGGGGTTCCACAACATACGCGGCCTAACAACAGCCAATGGCTTTGCGGGCGAAAGGGACGGGAAAGCTCACCTGCACTGGTAATGGCCTGTCTGTATCTCTTGTCCTGGACGTCGCCGGCAGCGAAGACACCCTCGACGCTAGTCAGGGGGGTGCCGGGCTTGGTGACGATGTAGCCCTCGGCGTCGGTCTCGAGCTGGCCCTTGACGAGGGTGGTAGCGGGCTCGTGGCCGATGGCGTAGAACAGGCCGTTGGCCTCGACCTCCTCCTCCTTGCCGGTGACGGTGTCCTTGACGACGAGGTGGCTCATGAGGCCGTCGGCGCCGCCCTTGATCTCGGAGCCGACGGAGTTCCAGCGGACGGTGACCTTGGGGTGGGCCAGCAGGCGCTTGGCCATGATCTGGGAGGCGCGGAGGACGTCGCGGCGGACGAGGACGGTGACGTGGCTGGCGTACTTTGTGAGGAACATGGCCTCCTCGGCAGCGGAGTCGCCGCCGCCGATGACGAAGAGGGGCTTGTTGCGGAAGATGGGGACGGCGCCGTCGCAGACGGCGCAGGCGGAGACGCCGTTCTGCCAGTACTTGTCCTCACCGGGGAGGTTGAGGCGGCGGGCGGAGGCGCCGGTGGCCAGGATGATGGCGTCGGCGGTGTGGGTCTCGTCGGGGGAGAACTCGGTCGAGTACTTGAAGGGGCGGGAGGAGAGGTCGAGGTTGGCGACGGTGTCGGTGATGATCTCGGTGCCGAAGCGGGCGGACTGGGCCTTCATCTTCTCCATGAGCTCGCCGCCCATGACGCCCTCGGGGAAGCCGGGGAAGTTCTCGACGTCGGTGGTGGTGGTGAGCTGGCCGCCGGCGGCGATGCCGTTGGCCATGAAGCCCTCGTAGAGGACGGGCTTGAGCTCGGCGCGCGCCAGGTAGACGGCGGCGGTGTGGGCGGCAGGGCCGGAGCCGATGACTGTGCGGAGGAGGGCATTGTCAGTTCATGGGGTCTCTGCATTGAGGGTAGCAGGCAAGCATGGATGCAGTGAAGCCATCGTGAGTCGATGTGAAGGGGGAAGATGAGGGGCCGTAGAGGTAACGGTAGGAGCGGCAGCAACGGTGGTGACGACTTACTGACGACCTTGGAATGCATGCTGCGGGCTGTTGTTTTAAAATCAACGGGGTTGGCGGTGTTCTTTTTCAGGGTGGTAGTGGCTGCTGCAAAGGACAGGCCGGTCGCGCTGGAGCGAAGAAGTGTTCGTCTGAGGGTTGAAGAGAACAGTTTGGCGGTGATATGCGCGTTCGGAACACGCACTATCCTCTCCAAAATGGCGGGGTATCTTTAAAAAGGAAAAAAGAGACGCAGTGCGAAGGGGGGTCACCTCAGGGAGGGGCGTCCTCGGGGAGTGGAGGGGCAACGCAACGAAACACCAGGCGGGTTCTGCTTCTGCTCTCTCTCCCAATCAGCTCCTCGCAAAGCTACAACTCGTGGCTATCGTTGACGATATCTGCTCGCTGCTACGCACTATCTATCAGAGTCAAAGACGGCGTCTGACTGGACGGCGACTGCTTCCAAGTGGGAATTGCAGCGCAAGGCTAGGACGGTTGGAGCTGTGCTGCAGTTGGATTTCTAATGGTTGCCGGGATTTGGCCCTGCGATGGTGGATTCCAGAATTTTTCGGGCGGCGGCGCGACTCAGGGTTCTCTAGCGGACGGCCACCAAGAAATGCGCAATCGGAGCGCCGGCTGTGCTGGATTACTTAAGCGCCGAGTCTCCGGGCGGCCACGCCAAGTCACACCCCACTTACCGAGGCTCGCCCGAGTGACATAACTCCGAGCGGAACGCATGCTTTTTTCGAATTCCGGTCTCGGGGCCGACTTTCCGCAAGGGTTCTCACGACACGCTTGACGCATTCCCATCTTATCAATCAAAGATCTCTATTTGGAATTCTCGTCTTCTGACGTCAATGAAGCCTCGTCAGGTCGATGTTCTGGACTGGCCAAGGCCGTTGTCGGTGGAGACGGATGATGCGATTCCGTGTGGTGCAACATTTGATGACTCCTCGTGAGGATGATTATTGAACAATGCCAACAATTTGGAATTAAACTAACCACCTATTCTTCTGGTGCGATAGCGACTTCTATTACAAGACCGTTATAACTTTACCATTGTCGTCGCCTCCGTTGTCGTCCTTCATCTCTGTGCGACCTTGGCCGCATGGTTGCGCACAGAAAATACGGCCACGCAGACACGGGAAACACAGCAGTCCCTTACCAAAGGTAGAAAACCTTCGTCGTGTTGTTTCACGTATAAGACTGGGAGCCAGCCAACTCAGAAGCGGGTGTTCCGCGCAGCGACACTACCTACCTGAGCGCCTTTACCTCAAGGCCGAGACATCAGATCACAATCCTCGATAGTCTAGTGGTGAGGATATCGGCTTGTCATTTCACGATCGCCGGGGACCGGGGTTCAATTCCCCGTCGAGGAGTCAAAAGAGCCTGGATCTGGCTCCTTTCAATTTTTGCTGAATTTTTCGACACTGTGGGCAAGTTGCGGAGTCATTTCATGCCCTGGTCCGGCTATCCACATGTGCTCCGGCAAGCTGCGGATCACGGCGATAAGTGGGGCCTTAGAGACTTACCGTTTCTAGTAACTTGACGGAACGTGAATTGAGGGGACAAGAATGCGAAGTCGAAATCGCTTGATGAGTTTGGTTTCTCAAAGAAAATGGTGAGGCTCGAGAGTTCGCATCGGGTGGTGTGTGCTTGGCCTCGACGACTTAGTGCCGCATGGGAAACCTGACCGTGCTATGTCGAAGCGCCTGATATTATGGATATAAGAGGTACATCATGATCATCTCCATTGAAAGCAAAGCTGGAAGATACGGTTTGTCTTGAAGAGCATATCGAGCGGAAGGCAGTATATCAAGTCTCAACCACGGATGCAAAACTACCGTGGCCTAGAATATTCGGCGATGATACGCTCTACTTGCGAAACGTGTGCGTGGTGGTTCCTAAGAATAGAAGATTGGCATATCCTCTTCGCGGATGACTCAAATTGAAAGTCTCCTCATGCATATACCTCGTGACGAATACCCTTTAGAAGCCAGAGACAAGCATCGCTAAGTGCGGCGTCCAGCATCAGACCAAGGCTGAGCTTCATCGACGTATCTTAGCTTTCTTGTCACAAAAAGTGGCATACGAATCACACTCGTGACCTCGAATTGACGGAGAAGATGATTGCGGCGAGGCAATCTAGATGCAGAACTGCGGAGCACCTCCACAAACTACAGGTAGATCTTCGACAGTTATCCCCCCCCTAGGTAAGTATTCTGAAATAGGAATTAAGTGGGAAACGTCGCCTGGTCTTCACTGCCTGTCAATTCCCTAGGTTTCTGAGATGGATACGTTGGGGCAGGTAACTGTATTGTGCTTTTTTGATGCTGCGAGTAGTGCTACGTAGCAATGTCGCTGAGGGCAACAAGGTGAAAGCAGCTTTCACTTGAGGAGCGAGCATTACTAAACGATGCCATTTTGTTTACTAATGTCGCAGGGCTTAGAGTATTATTACTACTTATACTTGACTTTGGCGGGAGTCTTAGATAACACAGGTTGCAGTGGTTATCCGCGGCGGCTGCTTAAGCCCTCAATTGCCTGCCTAGGAAACCTACCTGCCTCGAACTTGTCGGAAGCTACAAGTGTCCTACATATGGGCGAGTTTTGCTGATGGGTAATATTAATCCTTAAGGGGAGAGCCTTTTTTAATCCTCATCTTAACTGCTAGACAGCCGCTCTATTTGCTTACGCACCTAACTTAAAGAAGATAACCTTAGATAAACTAATCTAGCTGCTAGGAAACCCTATAGTTTTAATGAGATAGCCACTCGCATATATTTGCTCTATGCTAGTTTGTAGACAATATAGGGAACACGGCCTGAGCTTATGTTTTGAATATATTACGTTTCTCTTATAGCTCGTAATAACCTCACCTATATAAAGGTATTTAGAGGCTATAGGCTATAGTTAGGTTAAACTAATAGAAGAAGCACCTAAAAGGTAGGTATAATATTACTATATTACTTTTACTTACTTCTTCTAAGATCTTCTTTTCTAACTTTTTAGTAAATACTTATTAAGTTTTTACTATAGAGGGTTCTATACCTTATCTCTATAGAGTTCTCTATTTTTTTAACTTAATTTAACTAAACTATCCCTAAGTCCTTCTAGTCTAAATAGCTAAACGCTTATAATTATTCCCCTTCTAATTATAGTAATCCTTATTATAGAATAAAACTAGTAATAAATAAGAACTTCTATTATCTATAATAAGTTTTTTATAGTTACTATTATAATTATAAGTTATCTTTATTATCTATATAGTAGTTATCTATTATATATTTACTAAAACTTCTTTATCTTTTAGTACTATTATTATCTCTATAGGTTTTATAATCCTACCCTTAAAGTTATATTATTTACTAAATAGGATTTTATTAGAGATCTCTCTTATTCTTTAAAAAAAGAAATTATTTTTAATAGGTTTTATATTCTTTATTTATA